CAGCAGCAGCAGTAGCACCGCCAGTCAGCATCGAGAGAATCCCAAGTCTACGTCCAACAGAGGAAACGACGCGCACCGAGGAAAGGCACGCCGGCCGGGCCAGGCGGCAGCTTCTGGCCCTTGACACTTTGGCGAACATAGCTGAAGGCCTTGAGGAGTGCGAAGACGGTGGCCACGAGTGTGGACAGCGCCGTGAAGGTGCCAATGTCGTGGACAGTCGAGACCATGTTTGCGATGTTCTAGGCGTGGTCTCCACTACCTTTTGGGGAGTTGTGTGTTGGTGTGGAAGATGGAGGAACGGGGCGATAACCTTCTCGACCATTCTACCCTCCCTTTTAAACGGCAACTGTCGCGCGTACCACACAGTGGCGGCGAGACCGGAGAGCGCGCGTTGAGCGAAGCGATGCGCCCCGCTCCTTGGCCAGGGCTCTCTCGTCACGCAGCGCGAGGTAAACGGCCTGGACGAAAAAAGCCGTCTTGTCATTGGACTCGCGTGCTTGCCGGAGGGTAACTACCAGCGCATTCACGAGAGTCAGCGCTTTCTCGTGGCATGGACCTCGGTTGGCTCGCTTAGCGACTCTTCATTGGTTGCTGAAGCCAAGCGGACAGCCTGCGCGTAGTCGACTAAATGTTAGCAGGATGTATCAATCATGTCTGTTAATCGTTGCTGTACCTGCGTGGATCGTCATTACAAGTCTTCTCAACTTGTGCTCCCGTAAGTTCAAGTTCAAACTTAGCGGGGGCCGCGAGGACCTAGGACCGACCCCGGGCAACGCCGAGAGACAAAGACGCCCATCAAAGCTTGCTCGTGGCCGCTACGGCCGCTCTATGTTCCCGACATTTGCCTAGCCGCGTACCAGGGCCTTTTGGTGGCACTGCACCGTGGGCAATACAAACACTATGCTCTGTTGCTTCGGCTACAGCTCTCCGGGGATGGCTTTATCGTTGCGCCACTCGTGCACAACAGCCAATGTTTGACCTGATAGACCCAAGGGGTGCTCGGAAATCGTAACGTTCATCACGACGTCCGTCGGAGACTAGAAAAGGGCAAGTAGATGTCGAGCGTTCGCGTCCTGCTTTCTTTCAGAACTTGTTCACAGCTGATAACGATTGTCTGCTAGGTTCTGAGATGTCTTTTCACACCACCGAGCAGCCTGCGTAGAGGGCGAGCCTCCTGACCATCTCGGCTGCCCTCGGTGATCATGAACGACCGAACAATTCGCGGCGCAATAGGTTTCCTCATCCTGAACACGTTGGTTGTCCCTACTGTGAAGCTGTCTTCCTTGCTTGGGTATCTCAGATGAGCTTTTGTCTGCACGCTATACGTCCGGTCTCATGCGGGTGCAGCTGATGACGCATGACATGGTATAAACGGCCTTCCCCTCCATGTCGTTAATCCCTGTTGTTGCCCTCCTATCCCCTGTCTCCGTCCAACCGACATGTCTGCTGCTAATCTCACGCATACCCTGCCCACCACCAGAGAGCTTTGCTTCGACCAGTCGCTACCGGATGCTCCTCTGACTGGGTACGCCAAGTCTGGTTCTGCAGCAGTGAACACCCCGTTCGGCGGAAAGCTTCTGTGGGTCGGGAACGCGACTTGCATTATCGAGTTCAATGGCATCCGTTTCATGACGGACCCAAACTTTTTGCATCAAGGTGGGTGCTCCCTGTACGAAAGTTAGACCTCGTTGACGGGTTATGTTGACGTGTAGGCGATCACGTTCACCTTGCGCCAGGAGTGACCGCCGAACGCATCAAAGACCCTGCCTTTGACTACAAGAACTGCCCGGCCGTTGATTTCATTCGTACGTACGTGCCTGTTCTCTCTCTCTGTACATCGCGCTAACATCCGGCGCGCAGTCCTCAGTCATCTGCACGAAGATCACTTCGACAACCTCGTCGCAGAGCACATCCGCAGGTCGCTCCCGATCATCTCCACCTCGCATGCGTGCGCAACCCTTCAAGAGCGCGGCCATACTGTGCTGTACCCGCTCGACACCTGGCAGAGCGTGCGCATCACCAAGGGCACCGATGAGCTTACGATCACGAGCATGCCCGGAAAGCATACGCTTGGTACGATTGAAGCCGTGGACTCAGTACTCCACATGATCCCGCCCGTGATGGGCAGTTTAGTCGTATTCAAGAAGTCGGGAGGGGAGCAAGATTATAATCTGTACATCTCGGGCGATACACTCTACTACGACGAGCTTCAGGTAAATCCGGGCGTCTGCATGTGTATATGCGCTCACTTAACACATCTGTGTGCAGGAAATTCATCAGAAGTATCCGCACATCAATTTAGCGTTGGTTCACCTTGGCGGCACGACCGTTCCTGTCATACAAGTCATGGTTACGATGGACGCCTCCCACGGAATCAAGTTGATCTGTGCATTGCAGCCTGACCAAGTCATTCCGATTCAGTGCGTATGCGGGGCTATGTACCTTTTGCATATCTAACTTTGCACGTCGACAGCTTCGACGACTACGATGCCTTTAAGTCCCCGCTGTCGGACTTTGTCAAAGAGGTAGAGAAGGCCGGTTGGACTGACCGAGTGATCTACCTCAACCGTGGTGAAGAATTTGCTTTCTAAATCATTGCGATGATCGACGGAAGATGACATGAGAGAAAGACGCGCTGTACTATAACTTTGTCCACGAATCATAAGCTCATATCATAACACAGCATCCCAACATATTGATCGGTGAAACATGTTGACATGTCAACGTACGGAGAAGCAAACTCGGTCCAAGATGCGATTCAATTAGGTCTTAAGTGACTGCGGGCATGAAGCTTTAAAGCGCGCAGGCCGTCCGCAGTGCTTACATAAGCGCCAGTCGTCAAACGGTAGAATCTATCCGTACATTCCAAGAGTACTTTGAGAGAGGTATGATGATGTACACGCATAAGACTTTATGATATCTCTTTCACACTTCTTTAGTTGGTTAGGGGTGGGCCTGATTCGATGCGCAAGCTCTAATTCGTCCACCGTACATGCCCTTTACATCCACTAGACTGTTGAGCTTGAACAGCGTGCAGTAGATTGGGCGTAAAATGAATAACTGAGTTGGAAAAGAAGTGAGGCTACTTATAGCGGTACTTAGAACCCCTCGGGCAAATTACAGCACACGGAGCTCAAAAACTCCGCAAGCGCTAGTACGAACGAAGTAAGATGCGTCCGCTGAAGTGGTGATCCCGCCGTCACCTGAGGCATTTGACCCGCCCGGCTTTGTGCTGCTCGCTGCGGGGCTTGTCCCAATGGTTTCGAGCGATTAATATTATATTGGCGAACCTCGGATGTATCATAATTCTTGGTAATTACAAGACTGTAGCGATGGACACTAAATGAAGAGGATGCGACACGCGTGATTGAGAAACGCAAGACGGGGAGGTCGGGCGGGTCAGACTCGGATGCCTCAGGTGACGGCGGGATTACCACTTCAGCGGACGCGTCTCACTTCGTTCGCACTAGCGCTTGTGGAGCTTTCGAACTCCGTATGCTGTAACTCGCGGGTACTGGCTTCGCCTTACCAGCCGATTCCCGAGCACAAGCTGGCGTTACATAGCACAGTGCTACATGTTGTGCAAGAGGAGCCAGTAGCAACGGATATATGCAGTAGTAAACGATGGGGTGTGGGCAGCGCTAGCGAAACAGGAGAGAAACAGCAAACGCCGGGATTCAGCGTCTAATAAGTTCTCCAGGCTGCCTGCGGCAAAAGCCGGTGAGCAGCGCCTAATCGCACTCTCCACTCCAGTTCACCGATTCTAGGGGGAATCGGAATTTGCCCGGGGGGTGTCTATCGTTCTAAGTACCGCTAGGGCTTCTCGGCGGCACTGCACCGCAGACATCACAAACGTCATAAATCATTGCACCACCGCAGTCCCTGGGTATAGCTCACCATTTCGCGATGCGCATACAGCAGCCGGTGGGCTCAAGAGGAGCTCGGAAACCGTGATTTGCACTTCGGCGTTCGCACATGAAAGGGTCAGTAGAGTTCAAAAATCTGCATCTTCCCTTCTCGCAGAGCTTGTGATACGTTGTATTGCCAGGTCTGAGCTATCTACACAAGCTACTGAATAATGACCAGCATGGGGCAGCGAGCCTTCTGACCTCTCCTGGCCGTCCCCTCCACTTCTCTGCCGTCTCGCCGTCCCCTCTCCCCCATCTCTCTATCGCTGTCCGAGAAACATGTCTGCTACCAGTTTTACGCTCATCCTTCCCCCTACCAGAGAGCCTTGCTTCGACGACTCACTACCGGATGACCCATTGGCTGGGTATGCCAAGTCCGATTCTGTACCAGTGAACACCCCATTCGGGGGAAAGCTCCTATGGGTCGGGAATGCGACGTGTGTCATTGAGGTCAATGGCATCCGTTTCATGACGGATCCGAACTTCTTGCACCAAGGCAAGTGATCTTTTGTGCAAAGCTTTGGCTTAACTGACAGACTGTGGGGGATGTGCAGGAGATCACGTTCATCTTGCGCCAGGGGTGACCGCTCACCGTGTCAAAGACCCTGCCTTCGATTACAAGAACTGTCCAGCCGTGGACTTCATCCGTACGTACTTGCCCGTATTCTCAGTGGACCGCACTAACTCCTTGTGCGCAGTCCTCAGTCACCTGCACGCAGACCACTTCGACGATCTTGTCGCAGAGCACATTCGCAGGTCGCTCCCGATCGTCTCTACCCCGCATGCGTGCACGGACCTGAACAGGCATGGTCACACTGTACTGTACCCGCTCGACACCTGGCAGAGCGTGCACATCATAAAGGGCGCCGATGAGCTTACGATCACGAGCATGCCCGGTAAACACGCAGTCGGCATCTTTGGAGCCATAAATTCAGTACTCCATATACTTCCGCCCGTGATGGGCAGTCTCGTTGCGTTCAAGAAGGCGGACGAGGAGAAAGATTATAACCTATACATTTCGGGGGACACACTCTACTATGATGAGCTCCAGGTAAGTCCGGGTGTCTCAGCGTGTACATGCGTCCACTTAATGTATCTTATACAGGAAATTCATGAGAGGTATCCGCACATCAATCTAGCGTTGGTTCACCTTGGCGGCGCGACTCTTCCTGTCATACGGGTTCTGGCTACGATGGACGCTTCCCAAGGCATCAAGTTGATTTGTGCGCTGCAGCCTGACCAAGCCATTCCGATTCAGTGCGTACACAGGGCCATGTACCCTCCATCTCGCTAACTTCGCCCGCCGACAGCATTGACGACTATTCTATCTTCAAGTCTCCATTGTCAGATTTTGTGAAAGAAGTAGAGAAGGCCGGTTGGACGAATTGGATGATCTACCTCAACCGTGGCGGAGAATTTGCTTTCTAAATTGTTGCGATGATCGACGGAAGATGTCATGAAAGGAAGATGCGCTGTACTATACCTTGTCCACTCGGAATCCTAAGCCTATATCGTAACACGGCATCCCAATATATCGACCGGTGAAACATTTCTGCATGTCAGTGTACGGAGAAGTAAACTCGGTCCCAAGTGCGTAGTCCTTAAGTTAGGACAGTAGTACTTGCATCTCTGCAATATTGTCAAGCGTTGGTGTGCATGGGAATCTATCCGTACATATCATGCCTCCCAAAGGTTTGATAGAGTACGGGATATATGCATAAAAGACTTCATAATGTCTCTTTCACACTTCTTGAGCTGTCTAAGGCGAGGCTATCGGTGGGCTTGATTCGCTGCGCAAACCCTAACATCGTAGAGACAGGAGCGCCCTCACTGTCTCCTCGTTCTCGAGTCTCAGCGAATGTGCAGGAAACAACCGTGGCGGAAACACACCGGTAATGACGATAATCCTGCCTGTGAGGTCAGGTATCTGGTCGACTGAGGAGAACTGATCATGAGACGCGGGCGGTCAGACGGTGCGCATCGTCCGGTAGACGTTTCTTGCAGTATTGCACATTTGTCGTGGGAGAGTGACCTAGAACAAGGGACAAGGGGAAAGAAGAGTGTTTCGTTGGACCTAAATGCCATGGTGGACTAAGGCAGAATTTTCAGTGTCTTGTATGTATCACATAGAGCGATAACCAGCGGGCAACGCAGCGCGTAGTTGCAGCTTACGCTCTGCATTTAGTCCAGCGAGGTTTGGGAGTAATATTGTGGCCGGTCCTGCCTGTTGACGCAACACGACATTGGGAAATAATTCTGTCCGCCGGGTTGGGAACTCTGTCTGCTACACTTCAAGCTTCTACTGGTTTGATTACACACGTCAGCGGAGGGTATCGACCCTCGGCATCCTGGCTAAAGGTACATTGTGCGACCTCCCTACAGTGGCTCTCAGGGTTGATTCCATCCATAATATGTTCGCATTTTTGTCAAGCTCGACTAACGACTTCCAACGAAGCTTCGCGGACATCCTGCGCATAGTTTACTGATGTTAGCGGGATCCATGTATCTCTTCGGGCAAAATTTGCTAAACTTGCGCGAGTCGTCACTGCAAGTCTTCACAATGAGTCTCAAGACTCAGACTCGCAGTCGACCTAGATGTTGCTCGAACTTGGCGGGACCGCAGAGTCGGACCGCGAGAACCGACTTCGGGCAATTCCGGAAAAGGACGCGGACTCTGAGCCGCTCTATATTCCCGACATTAACCTAGCGGCCATGTACCAGGGCTTTCCGGCGGCATTGCACCACAGACATCATAAACGTTATACTTTATTGCACGACTGTCGTACTCTGGGGATAGCTCGTCATTCAGCGATGCGTATGAGGCAGCCAGTGGGCTCAAGGAGAGCTCGGATGATCTGCACCACAGCGTTTGTACACGAAAGGGTCAGTAGAGTTCAAATATCTACATCTTCTCTTCTCACAGGGCTGATACATTGCATTGCTTGCCAGATTCTGAGCTATCTATACAAGCTACCGAACGATGGTCTGCATGGGGCGGCGAGCCTTCTGACCTCTTCTGGCCGTCCTCGCTGAGCCACCGAACCACCTGTGGCGCAATGAGTTTCCTCATCCTTCATATCGATGGATGCTCCTGCTGGGAAGTCGTCTTTTTGTTCGAATGCTTAGGATGAACACTATGCGTCCGGTCCTATGCAGCCGTAACTCATAGCGTAGTACAAATGGCACTCCCCTCCACCTCATCATCGTCTCGTCGTCGTTCCCTCTCTCCTACCCTCTCCGTCGCTGTCTGGAAAATATGTCTGCTGCCAGTTTTACGCTCACCCTCCTCCCTACCAGAGAGCCTTGCTTCGACGAGTCACTACCGGATGATCCTCTGACTGGGTATGCCAAGTCCGATTCTGTACCAGTGAACACCCCATTCGGGGGAAAGCTCCTATGGGTCGGGAATGCGACGTGTGTCATTGAGGTCAATGGCATCCGTTTCATGACGGATCCGAACTTCTTGCACCAAGGCAAGTGATCTTTTGTGCAAAGCTTTGGCTTAACTGACAGACTGTGGGGGATGTGCAGGGGATCACGTTCATCTTGCGCCAGGGGTGACCGCTCACCGTGTCAAAGACCCTGCCTTCGATTACAAGAACTGTCCAGCCGTGGACTTCATCCGTACGTACTTGCCCGTATTCTCAGTGGACCGCACTAACTCCTTGTGCGCAGTCCTCAGTCACCTGCACGCAGACCACTTCGACGATCTTGTCGCAGAGCACATTCGCAGGTCGCTCCCGATCGTCTCTACCCCGCATGCGTGCACGGACCTGAACAAGCGTGGTCACAGTGTGCTGTACCCGCTCGACACCTGGCAGAGTGTGCGTGTTATCAAGGGCGCCGATGAGCTTACGATCACGAGCATGCCCGGTAAACATACGGTCGGCATTCTTGGAGCCGTGAATTCGGTAGTCCATATGATCCCGCCCGTGATGGGCAGTCTCGTTGCGTTCAAGAAGGCGGACGAGGAGAAAGATTATAACCTATACATTTCGGGGGACACACTCTACTATGATGAGCTCCAGGTAAGTCCGGGTGTCTCAGCGTGTACATGCGTCCACTTAATGTATCTTATACAGGAAATTCATGAGAGGTATCCGCACATCAATCTAGCGTTGGTTCACCTTGGCGGCACAACCCTTCCAGTCATACAAGTCATGGTCACAATGGATGCTTCCCAAGGCATCAAGTTGATCTGCGCGCTGCAGCCTGATCAAGTCATTCCGATTCAGTGCGTACACTGGGCTATGTGCACTCTACCTCGCTAATTTCGTCCACCGACAGCATCGACGATTACGATGCCTTCAAATCTCCATTGTCAGATTTCGTGAAAGAGGTGGAGAAGGCCGGTTGGACGAATCGGGTGATCTACCTCAACCGTGGCGAAGAATTTGCTTTCTAAATCGTTGCGACGATCGACGGAAGATGACATGAAAGGAAGACGCTGTACTATAACTTTGTCCGCGAATCACAAGCTCATATCGTAACCCAACATCCTGATACACTGACTGGTGAAACATGTCGGCATACCAACGCGTAGAGAAGTAAACTCGGTGCCTAAAGCGACTCAGAGGCCATGACGTGTTGAAAGCCTGCAATTGTGGCCGCTCTACATCAGCTGCACAGCTTGCGATCCAACGCCGACACAGGTTCGGTTTCTAATAGGAGGTAATTTTCTTCCCCGCGTGAACGTCGACTCTGACTCGTTATTCGTCTACAGGTAGACTCTCAGGTGCGGGGTCCGATTGCGTTGGCAGTTCGCCCTTGCTGTGCCTTTCCCATATTGGCAGTGGTATCCGGACCTGGCGCAAGAACCAAGGGCATGCGGAAGCCTCGCATTGTTAACCTTTCGAAGCTGGCATCAACCTTGTATTCTATGCGAGACTGCTTCTTCCTGGTCCGCGGAGTGTTGCCTCCTCTCGCCTTTATTCTTACAAGCGTTGACAAGTTGACTGCCCAGTCTCCGATTTGCAGCGCATAGTTGCCTCTTTTTCGCCCCCGCTACCTCCCAAAACCCTGAACTCGGGTCTTTAACACTGTGTTGGAATCTGACGGTTGGACGCTGCCCATGCGCTGGTGCCAACCCGAGGCGAGATGCCGACTATCATGGATACGCTGGTGGCTACTCTCTGTCTCCGGCAAGCACGCGAGTCCAATGACAAGACGGCTTTTTTCGTCCAGGCCGTTTACCTCGCGCTGCGTGACGAGAGAGCCCTGGCCAAGGAGCGGGGCGCATCGCTTCGCTCAACGCGCGCTCTCCGGTCTCGCCGCCACTGTGTGGTACGCGCGACAGTTGCCGTTTAAAAGGGAGGGTAGAATGGTCGAGAAGGTTATCGCCCCGTTCCTCCATCTTCCACACCAACACACAACTCCCCAAAAGGTAGTGGAGACCACGCCTAGAACATCGCAAACATGGTCTCGACTGTCCACGACATTGGCACCTTCACGGCGCTGTCCACACTCGTGGCCACCGTCTTCGCACTCCTCAAGGCCTTCAGCTATGTTCGCCAAAGTGTCAAGGGCCAGAAGCTGCCGCCTGGCCCGGCCGGCGTGCCTTTCCTCGGTGCGCGTCGTTTCCTCTGTTGGACGTAGACTTGGGATTCTCTCGATGCTGACTGGCGGTGCTACTGCTGCTGCT